TAAAAAGGAATAATAATAATTAAATAAATTTAGGTAATGGCCCGGCAATGGAGGGAGGGGAAAAAATAAATTAAAAAATAACCCCTAAAAATTTTCAAAAATATAAAAATATTGAAGACTTTGGAAGGTATTTTTACAAGAAAATTTCATACAAAATAAATTTGTTTAACATATTTACCAATTTTTTCATAATCAATTGCAGTATATTTGACCTTTATATCTTTAAATAACGTTATCACTATGTATAAGAAGATAACTTTTGGTCGGTTTTTTATTTTACCCTTCATTTTTCATGAAAGTTAAAACAAAAAGTATAGAAAATATCAAAAAAACCCTTTTAAAGTTTTAAAATCGTGTTTATCCCGTTTCGGTCGATATGATAAGGTACCGTAAAATTTTATGCTACTCATATATTAAGCAACTTATGAAACTTTTTACATCTTTCTATTATTTAGAGTTTTCTTTATTTTTGGTGCTTCTTTACTTTTTGTAACCCCTATTTTTGAAAAACTTTAAAATTTTAAAATAANACTCTCTTATGAAACTTTTTACATCTTTCTATTATTTAGAGTTTTCTTTATTTTTGGTGCTTCTTTACTTTTTGTAACCCCTATTTTTGAAAAACTTTAAAATTTTAAAATAAAAATGCCAAAAATAGTGTTAATGTTTATTTTATGAATAATAAAGTGTTAGGGAAATCTTCGTATCCCTTAGTGCCTCATCCTGGCCGCCCAGAGATCGCTGCCGGCACGTCCACCGCGTACCACTCTGCTTGTTTCTTATGGTCACAGTCTGTGGGACCCATGTGCACGCTAGCCACGTTTTGTACTAATGTTTATTAAACCACGTTGTGTTAAGTAATTAACCTGTGTCTCTCACTTCCATACCTCTTATCAGGTTATGGGCCCAGAGCACGTTCAGAATGCAATTAATTGTGTAGTGAGAGCGCATTACTAAAGAAGTGCGCGAAAGCAACGTGTCGGACGCGCTTTTCAAGGTTATGTCGTTCAAAAAATTTTTTTTCTTTCTTCATCGTGCATAAAAAGAAGAAAAAAGACCGACAATGGCCGCGTCGCTGCCGGAACAAAGGTCAAGCCTGCCCCGTCCGGCGAAAACGCTACGTCGATTGCCAAATTGCAGGAGCGTGATAGCGAGGCTATGTCCGATATAATCTTGGCGATACAACCATCGGAACTGAAACAAATCAAGGACTGTCTCACTTCCCGCGAATTGTGGTTGAAACTTGAATCGATTTACCAATCGAAAGGACCCGCGCAGTAAGCATCCCTGCTAAAACAAATTGTTCTCCAGAGAATGACGGATGGTGACGACGTGCGTGATCACTTGCGTAATTTTTTCGATGCAGTCGACAAGTTGGGCGTTGATTTAAACATCAACGACGATTTGTTGTCCATCTTATTGAGGTATAATTTGCCGGCGAGCTTCGAATACTTCCGATGCGCGATCGAATCTCGCGACGAATTGCCAAGACCCGATATTCTACGTGTTAAAATCGAAACTTTGGACCAAGGACGAAGGTGAGAAGCCCCCCTACAGAGAGCTAATAGGTGCACTAATGTACCTAGCTGTCGCAACGCGACCTGACATATCACACGCGGTCAGCGCGTTGAGTCAGTTCAACGATTCCTTCGGCAAAGAACACTAGCAAGCAGCGAAGAGGATACTACGATACTTAAAGGGTACCTCGGACGTGAGAATCGTGTTCAAAAACAATATCAGCAACCTAACTGGATACGTGGATGTCGACTGGGCGGCGTGTATCCAAGATCGAAGATCGTACACCGGCTTCGTTTTTACAATGAACGGTGGGGCTGTGTCCTGGGAGTCCAGGAAGCAACGGACCGTGGCGCTGTCGTCGACGGAGGCCGAATATATGGCCCTAAGCGACGCCTCAAAAGACGCGATGTATCTGCTACGACTGGCAAGAGACATGGGAATCGACGGCCCACGAACCGTCAAGCTATTCAACGACAACCTCGGAGCTCAAAAACTAGCAAGAAACCCAGTATTTCACTCTCGCACTAAGCATATCCATGTGCGACATCATTTCGTGCGAGAAGCACTTGCATCGGGGGAGATCGAGCTCGACCACCTGTCAACTGACGGAGTGCCAGCAGACGCGTTGACGAAGGGACTGTCAACAACAAAGCACTGGCGGTGTCTAGATAACCTCGGCATTCGAAGGGCGGAATCTTGAGGTCGGCCGAGTCTTCGAGAGAGGGTGTTAGGGATATCTTCGTGTGGGGACGTGGTTCCCCCACTCCGACCGCCTGCGCATGGCGCAGGCGCGGCGGCTCTCTGACCGCCGTCGCGAGGAGCACATTTCCTCCTCGTGGCTCTCCGACTCTGAACCTCGAACTGTGCACACGTATAGTAGGGAACCTCGAGTATTTAATTTCTCACCATCACCCCTACATTCGTATCCATTTTTTTTTTATTTTTTTTTTTACGTGGGGGAAATCTGCTGACCAGACACCCCCGCCCCGCCCGGGGGAGCGGAGCGGGGGTAGTGCGGGATTTGACCCGCTAAAACCCCCACGGCGACCTAGGGACGCTGTACCTAACGCTGGCAGACTACGGGGGAGCCACGGGAACTCTTGAAGAACACAACCGCGGCTCCCCCTCGCCTGGCCGGCCACCAGGATAGAAAAGCGGTGGCCGGCCGCGTCCCAGGGGGAAATGAATCCTCCCCCCTTGAATCTTCTTGATTCGGCGGTGCGAGGGGTCGCACCCCGCACCGCCACGTCACGGCGGCCGCTACAAAGATGTTCCCAGGGCCCCCGCCCTGGGCACAGCGGCCGCCGGGGGGGGGGACGACGAGACACTTCAAAGAAGAGGCGAGTCATCACCCCCCACTCCCAACAAGGGAGAACCTCTTCTATTGGCGGGCGGCGGACACTAAGTCCAGCAAGAGCTGGTTCACCCGCCGCCCGCCTACCCTCAACTGCTCGGGGGCTCGAGGCGTGGGCGCACACGCCGCCCCCGAGCTAGTCGGTCCCGCTCACGACCTCGCCCGGCAGCCTCCTTCTGCAACATTACCTGTTCGCAGAAGGAGATTGCTGCCGCCCATTTTCTAGGGCTCTCCAGCATGGTCCCAACTAAGCTGGAGAGAGCGAGGTCGTGACCGACTTCCCGTTTTAGGACTCGACGCAGCGCTGAAAAGGTGGGGCATTCCTCCAGCGTATGCTGCGCCGAGTCCTCCTCCGCGCCACAGTGGTGGCACACCGTCGTCGCTTCCCTACCGATGCGACACAGATAAACACCGAAGCTGCCATGCCCAGTAAATACCTGCGTCGCCCGGCAGGTGAGCCTGCCATGCCGCCTCTCCCGTCACGAGGACATTCGTACCCCTTAGTGCCTCATCCTGACCGCCCAGAGGTCGCCGCCGACGCGTCACCGACGTGTCTGGTCCACCGCGTACCACTCTGCTTGTTTCTTATGGTCACACTCTGTGGGACCCATGTGCACGCTAGCCACGTTTTGTACTAACATTTATTAAACCACGTTGTTTAAGTAATTTACCTGTGTCTCTCACTTCCATACCTCTTATCATAAAGGCGTTTAGAAGGATGCAAATAATTGTTTATTCCCGTTTTCAAAACAGGCTAGCTTTGCTAGTCACTATATATAAAAAGACAACATTTGGCCTATTTATTTATTTTTACCCTTCGTTTTTTCATGAAAGTTAAAACAAAAAGAGCGAAAACTGTTTTTAAATGCACTTAAATTAATGTTTACGTTTTTATCTTATTCTTATCGATATGATAAGTTACCATAAAGTTTTATATTGCTTCTTTATTTGGCGACTTATCTAACTTAAGAAGTCTTTCTATTTTTTAAAATTTTCATTATTTTTGGACCCTTTTTATTTTTTTAACCCCTATTTTTAAAAAATACGAAAAAATATAAAAAATTAAAAAAACAACGATGATATTTATTTTATGAACAACAAAGATATTTAAAACGATACAGGTAATAATTCATTCCCGATTTTAAAACGGGCTAGCTTTGCTAGTACTTGTATAATAGTTGAAATTTCAAATATGGATTTGCGAAAAATAGTATTTTAAAACATTTAATAGATCTTCCTACACATCTCAAAACCACAACTCCAGCTTCCATGTATCGAGTGTCTGGTTTTGCCTTTTTCAATCCTCATACTTCCGCAACAAACACGATATTTATCACCTATATTTATTAATATTAACTCCGCTGCAAATTTAAAAACTTCTTTCTCAGTCTGTGTTCTTAAAAAATTATTTTTTTCATATTTTAGGGGTTATTTTTCGCCCCCCCCCCTCCCCCATTGCCGAGACATTACCCCAAACAAACTTCCTTAAAATATAAAAATTAAACCAAAATGATAAAAAAATTTTAAAACAAAATAAATAACCATCATTTATTCACGACTGTGTTATATCATAATTATAAGTAAACTCTATTTTGAAGACTTCTCGTGCATTTTTAAAATATCTTTGCAAATTTCATGTCCATTTGTATTACAGAAACTACTTATTTTATCACACATTATATTGGGGTAGTTCTTACAGGTTACATAAAGCAAGTTTAAATGTGCAAGTCTAATTTTTCCATCTAAACACTCCAAAATATATTTTTTAACAGGAATAAGATTTATATTACACTTCTTA